GTTCCGTGCCGAAAACGTTACCTCTGCAATTGCAAGGGCAGGAAACGTCCTGTGCAAGGCATGGGTTCTTAGACTCCTTTGCCTCCAAGGCTTCAGAATGACCCATGGCAGGGCCTGCCCGTTCTCTGGAGAGGAAAACAGATTATGAGATTTCATAGCCCAAGACATGGTAATGACATTAAGGAGCAGACTTGAGACAGATCAGAGAAAGGGTAGTTCAGCTAGATGCCCTTTCTCTGGCATTCTTCCCTGGGGACCTCTCAAGTCCCTGGAGATACTAATCTATGGCTGGAGACTGTCCATCCGCAAATTATGTAATAGCTCTCCCAGCGGTCCAAAGGTCCAAGCATAGTTCAGGCTTTCTCAGAAGGAGGGAATATTTTACCAAAGATCAGGCTTAGTATTTTTCACTGAACTCTCCATTCTGATCTGCTGCCAAGTGTTCTTAAGGTTCTTTGAACTGGTTTTTATGATTGTTCCTTCCCACCCCACACCATACTCCATCCCTAAGTACTTTCTGAGCAATGCAGGTATAGCAAAGTGCCACAGATGCAGATTTAAACGTTCAGAAACAGTGAGTTAAACACATGAAATTGACAAGCTTCTCTCTCTCTCCCTCTCCCTCCCTCCCTCTCTCTCTCTCTCTCTCTCTCTCTCTCTCTCTCTCTCTCACACACACACACACACACACACACACACAGAGTGGGGTGTATATTTTAGACATTGAAGTGAGAGAAAAAGATTCACTTAAAAGCACAGCCATTGAGATGGATCAGTGGGTAAAGGCACTTGCTGAGGAAGTCAGGACCACGAGGGGTGCGTCCACCCACTGAGACGGTGGGACTGATCTAATGGGAGCTCACCTAGGCCGGCTGGACTGGGAGTGATGGAGCATGTGATCAAACTGGACACTCTGAATGTGGCTGGCAATAAAGGCTGACTGAGAAGCCAAGGACAATGGCACTGGGTTTTGATTCTACTGCATGGACTGACTTGGTGGGAACCTGGTTTGTTTGGATGCTCACTTTTATAGACCTGGATGGAGGGGGAAGGGCCTTGGACTTCCCACGGGGCAGGGAACCCTGACTGCTCTTAGGACTGGGGAGGGAGGGGGAGGGGAGGAGGGGAAGGGAAAAGGGAGGCGGGGAGGAGGTGGAAATTTTTGATAAATAAATAAAAAAAAATAAAGGCACTTGCTGCCACACCTGATGACATGAGCTTAATCACGCCCCTCTCAGCACCCACTTCATAGAAAGAGACAAATGACTCTCCACGTGGGTGCTGTGGTATGAGTGCAACACACGCGTGCGAGCACATGCACAAACACACACACAATATAAATGTATATTTTTAATCAATGCCATGGTCTGAAAATAGTATGAGCTGGTTGCTGTTCACACCACTGGGTTGTAAACCAAGTGCCATCTGCTCTGCTGTGCTTGTAGACAGAGCAGCAGTTCCCAAAGTATGGGTCCTGGACCTCCAGGGCCTGTACCATCTGACACTTGAAATACAGGCTCCTGGGCTCTGCCTCTGACCCACCAGCTCTGTAGCTCCAGGTTGGCGCCAGCTTGTTTTAACAAGCCCTTCAGGTGGGTCTAAGACACACAACTCCTAAGCAGCGCTGACAAAGAGGATCCGAGGTGACAAGAGGCAGAAAACAGCGGAGGAGCCATTCCACGTGGCAGAGGGGAGCTTGCCCTGGGAAACAAAGCTACAGCTAAAATATCAAATACAGAACGAGTGGAATGAACAGCACTGGACCCTGGTCATGGGAGAAGGAACTCTAAAGGAGTGAAGAGGTGGTTAACAAGAAAAGGGGGTGGCAAGCCAGCATTATGAAAACCACAACTAGGGAAATAGCTAAAGGAAAATGTTCTCACCAACTGATAATCTTGGCTTGAACTGTCATTGACTCTTAGAGTTTGCTTCAAGAAGAGTCCTTGCACTTACCTATCATGTGCATAGCCCTGAGTTTGACCCATAACACTAAAGAAGAGGAAGAAGAGGAAGAGGAGGAAGAGGATTAGGAGTCCTCAGAGGTCCTAGTCATTTTCTGTTGCTATTATAGAACACCTGAGACTCACTGGTTTATAGAGGGTCAAAATTTATTTAGTTTGTCATTCTGTAACCTGAAAAGTACTGACAAGGGGTATCATCACTTATCTTAAACTATATAATGCATTTGCAATTATCTGTGGGATAATTGTATAATGTTAAGTGAAATTGTGATCTAGTTATTGTTTTCATTTGGAAATTAAGCCTGATGTAAGGGAATGTGATTGTGGGTCAAGTTGACATGATGTGGACTTGTGATGGGTAATCTTCCTTATCAACTTGATTATATCTGTAATCAACTAGAATCCAAGCGACTAAGCACACTCTGGAAGGATTTTCTTGATTGGATCATCTGAGCCACGCCTGGTGGCAGTCCACATAAAATGACACGGAAGAAGGAAGCATTTGCTTTTTGTCTGTTTGCCCTCGCTTTGACTGCCAAGTTTGTCTATTCTGTTCCTGAGGCATTCCTTTGCGGGTATTGGAACCCAGTTCTTCAGGATGCCAGTGTAGACTGAAGACCGGCAGCTCTCCAGGACTGCCCTGGAACTCTAGCACCAGAATGGGATGCTGAGACATCCAGTCTTTGTGGGTGAACAACCACCTTTCTGTCAGGAGACAGCCACTGATGACTATGTTATAGTTACTGCTAACCCGGTCTCCATTCTAAAGCCTCTGAAATGGTTGGTCCTAAATGTCTCGTCTCTGTGTGTGCAATGAATGTGAAGAATTGAAAGAATCCTAGAGGAGAATACTTCAAGGCTTAGATGTGAAACAGCTTGTTGATAACAGTCCCCAGTCTGAAAAGAGCAGAGAAAGCAGTGGGGGAAAAAAACCTAAAAAACAAAACCAACAGGCAGATTCACAGTCAAGCCATTTCAAATTAAAATCACTTGAACTTAAGTAAAAAGTGTTCTAAAAGGAAGTTGGGCAACCACTGTGCTAACAGATTCCAGGGGAGAGAAAGAGGGAAGAAAGTACAAGATAGGGCTGGAGCAATAATGGCTCAGCAGGTAGCAGCACTTGTTGCTCTTGGAGTGGACCCTGGTTCAGTTCCCAGCATCCATGGAGTGGCTCACAACCATCTCCAACTCTAACTCCCAAGTTTCTGGGGATCTAGCATCCTCTTCTGACCTTCATGGGCATAATGCAGACATGTATCACACACACAAACATTCAGGTAAAACACTTAAACACAGAAACCTAAATAAATAAATCTAAAAAGAAAAACAGTACAAGAAATCAAACATATCGAGTTGGAGGAATGCCTCAGTGATTAAGAACACTGGTTGCTTGTCTATAGAACCTAGGTTTGATTCCCAGCGCCCATATAGTGGTTAAAAACCATTGTAGCTCCGGTTCTAGGGGATCTGATAACCTTCTCTGGACTCCCTGGGCACCAAAGACACATATGGTTCACATATATATTCAGACGAAACACCCATATACATAAAATAACTTTTTGAGACAGGGTCTTTGTACATAGTCCTGGCTGTCCTGGAGCTTGCTATGTGGACCAAGCTGGCCTCGAACTCAGAATTCCTCCTTCCTTTGCCTCCTGAGTTCTGGGATTAAAAAGAAGTCAAACGCAAATATGAAATTCTCAACTAGAAATGACCAACATTTTGAACCCTCCATTTGTTTCTAAGACCAGATACCATCTTCTAAAACCTTCATTCCTACAACACAGAGCCCCCACCACAGCCAGTTTTAGCAGGAGCTTTGCAGTGTGGGTCCAGTTGCAGCTATCATGAAAGTAGACCCTTCTGGAGCTCTCTGTCTTTGAAACAGGTCATCTTGTTCCAGTTTCTTCTGAAAATGGAGTGTCAATCAGAGTAGCTGACTATACATATAGAAATGAAACAAACTGAACTAAATTTCAGGAGGTCTGACTCCAGCTTGTTTGTTTTAGACAAGGGTTCACTGTGCAGCCTTAGCTGGCCTTGAACTCACTCTGTAGACTAGATTGGCCTCAAACTCACAGAGTTCTGCCTGCCGCTGTCTCCTAAATACTGCCTCCATACTAAACCTACTCATTATTCTTTTAACCTGTATCTGAGCACCTAGTATTTCCGGGTACTGTACTAGGATCAGGAATACAATGTTGAGCAAGGTAGACATAGCCTCTACCCTCACATAGCTCAGACTGCAGATGGTGAGATCTGCACTAATTCTATAACATCAACATCCCAAAGACAAACTGTCAAGGAAGCTGTGAGCATAAAGAGAATGATCACAGAACCTTAGGACGCAGGTCACCAGCTAAGCAAATAAAGGCTTTCCTGGCAGGTCACATGGCAGTTGGCAAGAAAGGGTGGAGGAAGCTGAGTATGTGGTGCATTGTGAAGAAGGAGGGGCCATGGTGAGTGGCAAGAGGGGGGATCATCAAGGGGAAAGACATTTGAAGGGAAGATAGGGCAGGTGCTGACAAGCCTTGTAGGCTTCTTCAGCATTTTGGGCTTTACTGTGAGAGTAGCCAGCTGCCTAGGAAGAGAAAAGTTGTTGAGGATGCACAGCTAACGATTAAGCTGGTGGCTCACAGGGGGGCACAGGGACACCAATTTGGGGACTTTTGCTATTGATCAAAAACAACAATGTGACATCCCTCAAACAATCTTGATCCAGAACGGAGAAAGATGAACAGCTTTGAGAAATGTCATGTGAGCGGTGGAGGGGCAACGGAGGGCAAGGAGAGAGTGTGTCGGTGACTAGCGGGTATCCAGCTGCACTGAGCGGCTGGCATCTAAAGGAGACTCCTGGAAGACTTCTGGATGGTGGGTGTCCTTTCTCGTCACATCCGTGTGCTTGGGTCTTGCATCAATCCTGTGGGCCCTGGGAGAAGCTCAACCCTAGCTACAAAGCTGCTTCTTGGGCTCCCATGAAGACACCCACAAATAAGCCCAGTCTTCTCATCCCTCTCTCCCCTCTCATGCACTTTCTAGGTACCACATGTCCAACCCCCATATCTGTTGAACATGCAGACATCCGGGTCAAGAACTACAGTGTGAACTCCAGGGAGAGGTATGTCTGCAATTCTGGTTTCAAACGGAAAGCCGGCACATCCACACTGACTGAGTGTGTGATTAACAAGAACACAAACACTGCCCACTGGACAACTCCTAACCTCAAGTGCATCAGTAAGTACCAGTCCCCACACTGTTCCCCTGCCTCCCGCCAAGGCTGAACAGAGCATAGAGCTGAAGGGTGGGAGCTATGGAAGCCAAAGGAATCCGTGCTGGGATCTGGGGCTAACTAAACCAGTGAGACACAAAGCAACCCCTTCTGCAATGGGAACGCATGGGCAACGGGCTCTGTCACCCACTCCTGGTTCATATCCTAGTTCTGCCACTTAGCCATTTCGTGTCCTTGGGAAATCCCTTAGGCTTCTTGGAACTCTGGTTGGTGACCCAGAAAATGACCGTGAGGTCAACTGTGGTTTGTAGAGATAAGTGGAACCTGATAAATGCTATCATGTCCATCAGTGTTTGTTTTGGAAGAGGATTGGCTATGGTCTAGGGTGTGTGCTTAAGCTGCCCAGAGATCTTTATGGAGCTCTCGCAAGGCAGAGGGCTTCAGGAAAGCATACAGTGTTCTTGTTTGCCGGAACCTGAAAGCTGGGTAGGCCTACCAAACAGAAAATCCCTGTCTTACTCACCAGGGCAGTTAATGCCCAAGAGCAAAGATGAGGGTTGTGAAAATTAGCTTCTCAAAAACTCACCCACAGTAGGATGAAGGCCAATATTCTTGGGGTAGAAGCCACTTGGTGGTGTTTCCAGGAATACTAATCCCCATTCTGCTCCCTAAGAAAAAGGTACCCATAATCTCCCAGGACAGCACTGTTCAAACAGCCATCTACTGCATATCCAGGACATGGTTTGCAGCAGCTAATGCCGGTCATTCGAACTTTCATGGAAATGCCCAGCTCCATCTTCTGGGAACTCCCGGAAGGGTTGGTACCACATATCATTCCATGCAAGAACTACTTGATGACTGGCCTGTGGAAAATTCTAGAAAATCAGCTTACAGTCTGTGCATTTGGGTTGAGAAATCAATACTCATTTCTGGTGCCTTTTGCCTTGTCCCAGGATGCCAGAAATGGATGTGCACTTGTAACACGATTAATAAAAACCTAGAGATAGATATTGGGGTTCAAAATGAAGGTCAGAAAATCAAAACAGCCAACCACTGGCTCTTTTCTCTACCTCAGTCTGACATGGTGATCTTGCCTCCAGGAATCTCAGAATGAGACTGTGTGTGAGAGCTGTCTCCTCCCGTTTTATATTCCTCTCTAGGACTGGGATTAAAAGCGTGCAACTCTACCGCCTGGTTTCTACGGCAAATTAGTGTGGTTACTGGGATTAAAGGTGTGTGTCATCACTGTCTGATCTGTAAGGCTGATCGGTGGGGCTGTTTTGTTTTTCTGACCTTCAGGCAAGCTTTATTTATTAAAATACAAGTGAAATATTGCTACATGCACTGATGTATTGATTATTTTTATTTGTAACTAGTTCTGAAACCGCCCCAGATTCTGCCCTCAAAATCATAAATGCCATGTGACTATCCTCTCTCTAGGAGATCCCTCCCTGGCTCACCAGAGTCCAGTGCTACCTTCCACAGTAGTGACGCCAAAGGTGACCCCACAGCCAGAGAGCCCCTCCCCTCCCGAAAAAGGTAGGAATACTGGGAAAATATAAAGAACTACCATGTAGGATCCATTTCCCTATCATAGGTACCATGGCCCCTTGCTGATGATCGCTGCAAACCCAGGCAACAGAACTTTATGTTGACATCAAGATTCGGAACTTATAGTGGTTTAGGTTTTTCAGTTATTTGATATCCAGAACTCACATGTACATGATTCATAGTGGCTTAGAATCTACCATTAACATATTAGATCATAGTTAGCTGGAGATGTTAGCTGTAGACACCCTTATCAAGAGCAGAAAAGCACTTGAGATTTGAAGACAGAGTTTCTCTGTGTAGTTTCCCTGTCCTGGAACTCAGAGATCTACCTGCCTCTGCCTCCCTAGTGCTGGGATTAAAGGCAGGCGCCACCATTGCCTGGCTCTCACCTGTTTCTTAACCTGTATCAACATTATTAAAGGGATTTCGCACGTGGCCCAGTGAAGCAGAAATATCAGCTTATCATCTCTCAGGCCCACAGGGTCAGCAGGCTAAGCCAGAATACACCCCTGCATGTGTAGCAAGCTGCACTGGGCCAAGGAAGCCTGGGCTCATAGAACCTGAATGTCTTATAATTGGCAACAAACATGCCTGGTCTTTGCTCCAGAGGTAGGTTCTATCTATCTTCCAAAGCACTTGCTATTATACAGGTCCTTGGCAAGACAGTCTAGAGAAAGGGGGAAGATGGGGCCCTCCTTTGGCAAACAATGTGAGGGATTCATTGAAGACTTTTGCTTTGGCGGAGGTGGGGGTGGGGTGGGGGAGGTGGGACTTTGTAGCTCTGACTGTCCCAGAACTCACTATATAAACCCAGGTGGTCTCAAAATCACGGGGATGTGCCTACTTCTGCCTCTTGAGTGCTAGGATTAAAGGTGTGTGCCACTGCGCCCAGCTTCCCAGTCTTCATCATTAGCAATTTAATTTGGATGTTTGTTTTAGTTTCTTTTCTGTTGCTGGGTTAAAACATCCTGACAAAAAGCAACTTAGGGAAGGAAGAGTTTCTTTTATCTTACATTTCCAGGTTATGGCCATCACTGGGAAAGTCACGGTGGCAGGAGCTGGAAGCAGGCAGTCACATCACATCCACAGTCAAGAGCAGAGAGACAGGAATACATGCGTGTTCACTGGCATGTGCTCTGTTCAACACCTCCACTCTTAAGACAGTACAGGAGCCCTTGCCTATGGAATGGAGCTGCCCACAGTGGGATGAGTCTTCCCACATCAATTAATTTAATCAAGGCAACTCCCGACAGACATGCTCACAAGCCAATCCATTGTAGACAATTCCTCACTGAGATTCCCTTCCCTCATGTCAAGTTATAGCTAACCATCATAATACAGAAATATCGCATGAACGTCACCCCTCTCTCCATCCCCGCCTTCCTTCTTTCTTCCTTCCTTTCTGACGGGATCTCACTATACATCCTTGGCTGACTTCAAACTCACAGGCATCCTACCTTAGCCTTCAGAAGACTCGGTTTATAGGCCTGTGCCACTGAACCCAACTCAGTGTTTTGTACTTCATTTGAGTGTTACGCGAATCTAGTTTAATGTCTCATTGCTAAGAACGTTTGAAACCTACGCTCCCCACCTTTCGAGACTCTCATTTTCTAATAAGTTTTACTGTCACATCATCCAGTTTGTGGTTTCCCCTTGTTTCCTCCTTCCACTCCCAATTATGGCAATCTCTGTTTTCAATCACCCTGTATTGCTCAATTGGTCACAACTTCCAGTGCGCTGGGTCTCAGCCTTCCGATACACAAGGAACTCGCTGAAGAACTCCAGTTGGTCTGGGGAGAGATACGAGAATCAACAACTTTGGTTGCTTCCCGGATGGTTCTTAGGCATCCCAGGGACTCCTCTCCTAAGGAGGATAGAGAGGATTCTGAATTTCATGCCACTGTGTAGCATAGAAGGCTCCAGCTCAAAAAATTAATAATTAAATAGGACGGGGCTGTAACTCATTGGTAGAATGCTTGCCTAGCATCCATAAGGCTATAGGTTCAACTTCCAGTACTATTAGGGAAAAAAACAATAAAATAAAACAAAGGAGTGTCTCTTCTGGTGAATTCTGTAAACAGAAGAAAGTGGTAGGTACTTGACCCATTTAAGATAGAAGTGATTCCCAAGTTCCTTTGGTATGACTCACACAGTAGTTACTCAAGAGACAAGAAAGATCAACTAGTCTCTCTCAGCCTTGTCTCTGTGTCCCAAATGCTTGGTCAGATGTTCCTCATTGAGACAAAAATGTGCAGACACAGCCTTGGACACCAACTGGTATGATCATGGGTGATGGGTGTGAATGCTCTGTAAGGCTGGTAGTTTGCGGAGGGAGGGATACATCTCAGTAATACCAATGGACTGAAGGGTGCATGCACATCTCACGTGGTGGATGGCTAAGAGAGCCTGGGGCCAGGACACCACACCACACCTCTGGAGCACCAAGATGTCCAGCCGCCCAGCATGCTTTCCTCAGCCTGCATTTCCCAGGCTTGTCACAGTGGAAGACTCATTTTCACCTGGAAGGGAACAGAGAATGGGGAACGGGTAGGCCACTTTAGACTTTAGGAGCATCCGTCTACCAATGATGAGCAAGAAAGACAGGAACTAAAACACAGGCATCCTCCACACCAGCAGGCACTAACTCAGAATCCTCTCCTCAGAATCTGCCTAGGGCATTCTGGAGAGCTGGGTGTAAGCTTCCTCTTATTTCAAAATGTCAGGCTAATGTGTGAAAGTGAGTCAGGGTGTGGTGGTGGTACACACCTTTAATCCCAGCAGGCAGAGGTAGGGAGCTCTCTATGAGTTTGAGGCTAGCCTGGTCTATACAAGTTCCAGGCCAGCCAGGGATACATAACAGACCTGTCTCAAGAAAGAACAAAACTGAGAAGGAAAACTAGCTTCGCAGCTGTCTTTCACAAAAGCAGTACGGTTCCACTTGTGTTTTGGCATCAAGTCTTTAAGAATATAACACACTTTCTCCAGAAAGCAGGCAGATCTGCTCAACATCTCGGGGATTTTGTTTTGTTTTGAATGCACATAATAGATAACTATATTCTTTAGAGTTATCAGGAGTCCCATAGAACAGTGGATAGCTATGCCCCCTACGTAGGCACAGCTCGCTGGGAGTAAGCTGGCCAGGACAGGCTCCCTAAAGTGGGACCTTGGGTTCCAGACACTAGTCTGAATTTTTATGTCTCTGTCTTGGAATTTCCTGCAGAGCCAGAAGCTGTATCTCCCAAATCAAATACCACATTGACCACCCAGACAGCTATTGTGCCAGGCTCCGGGCTGACACCATCCCAACCAGCTTCTGCAGGAACTACAGTGACAGGCAGTCATGAGTCCTCCCGAGCCCCATCTCCTGCAACAACAACGACCTTGGAGCCTACTGCTTCCCCTTCCCTCGGGATACCAGGTCAGCCCTAGCTTTGAACAAGGACAGGCCAGTTCCCCACATATGGCTTCTGAGACCTGGATTGGGATCTTGCAGGAGGGTTGTCTGCATTAGCTTTGGACCACGTGGGCTCAAGTCAGAACTGACTGAGTGGCCCAGTCGTCTGCTGCCCACTATCATGCTTGAATGGTGTGTGCAGTGACCTCTGTAAGGATAGCCAGGAAGGAAACCCCACTTCTCAGATAGGACACGGCTTGCTGATGAGCACGCCAGAGAATGGAAAGAGCATTTGACAGTGTGGAGCTGTGGTCTGCGGGTAGAGAAGCCACTGGCAATTGTTCCTATTAGTATTCAGGCATCTGTACTGGCCTGCTCTTGGGGTCCTGACAGGATACGTTCACAGCCGCAACCACTTAGAGCACCTCTTGTGCACCTTCGCCATGTTCCCTTTTAAAAGGCGGGCCACCTCCCATCTCTTTCTCTCTCTCTTTCTCTTTTCCTCTTCCTCTCTCTCTTTCCTGCCACCCTTATCCCCAAGGACTGGTCTCTGCCCCCCTCTGTTTCCCTCTCTGCCCTCTTTGTCCCCTTCTCTCTCCTCTTCTAATCAACCTCCGCGTGAGCCCTGTTGTACCGTGTGACTCTCTCTTCCCGCCGTTTTTCTTTTGTTTAATTACAACAGTTTCTTTCTAAGGCATAGCCAATGTTTAGATGTAACCAAACACCTCACCAAGTTATCCTGTTCACTTTTGCTAAGGCCAGTTTCGTTATGTCAGCTCCATGTCTCTTACGGTTCTAAGATGGTAGCTAATCTCTCCAGCGTGGCAAGAATCTGGTGCTCTTGGGACTCCAATCCTGACTCAGCTTTCCTCTCTCTTCTGCAGAGATTTCTCCAAACACCTCCAAAGTGACCAAAGGTGAGTATTTTTTTGTTTTTTTGTCTGATGTATTTATAACCAGGGACTATAAAACAGACGCAGCGTGTTCATCAGCCTGGTCCAGGCCACTCTGACACAGTCAGCAGCAGTATTCTTTGCCTCTCTGAAAGGTCGCCATCAGAGAATAACTCTATTTATGGAGTTTGTCACTGGACATGATTACTTATCTTAAGATCGGTAACTTCTAACTGTCACACTTGTGATGTACAAAGCAGGGAATTAGCACACCACAAACAGCTTGATGGGTCAGCTACTCCCAGGTAAGCCCCACCTCTTGGCTCCACCTAGATCCAGAGCATGTTAGGAAAAGCAGGAGCCAGCGGCTGCCACTAAGAGAATACCATTTTGCCAGAAGCTGCATAGACCTCACAGACTGGAACAGTAGGCACAGGAGAGAGAGAGAGAGAGAGAGAGAGAGAGAGAGAGAGAGAGAGAGAGAGAGAGAGAATGAATTCAGACTGCTCTGTCTAAATGTTTCTGTTGATGAAGGACTTGAAGCACTACAGTTAGAAGAAAAAAAAAGAGGTTATACAATCAGTGCAGGAGGAAAACAGAAATGTGTTTGTGAAAAGGAGGAAGAGAGATCTTGGAGAAGAACAAATAGAGCAGAAGGGAAGGAAGGAGGCAGGGGTGCAGCTCTGATTGTGAGCTCGCTTGTCAAGGCCAAGGCCAAGCTTGATCTACAGTACCATAAAAAAGGGTGCGGGGTGCAGAGAGTGGGAACCTTATACTTTAGTCTGACAAGCTCTAAAAGGAGAGAAGGCCCTAGAGGGATGGTTCAGTGGTAAAGAGCTCTTCCAGAGGGTCAGAGTTCAGTTCCCATCACCCCAGATGGGTAGCTCACAACCACTTGTAACTCCAGCTCCAGGGGATATAACATCCTTTTCTGGCCTGGCCTGTGGACACCTGCATACTTATGTGTATGTACATACAAGTATATGTGCACACACACACACACACACACACACACACACACACAAATGTTTTTTTTAAAAGGATAAAATATTCTATTTCTTTTCTTTTTCTTTCTTTCTTTGTTCTTTTTGTGGATTTCTGTTTGCTTTTTGTTTTTATTTTATTTTTTTGAGACAGGGTTTCTCTATGTAACAGCCCTGGCTGTCCAGGAACTCACAGAGATTCACCAACCTCTGCCTCCCAAGTGCAGGGATGAAAGGTGTATGCCAACACTGCCCGGCTCTATTTTCTAGTCATAAGTTTTCCTGCTGAAGAATGACTCACTCGCTTTTTGGTCCTATTTACCTGCACCAAGTGACATCAGGGAATCAGATGTCACTTTAGATATATTAGCAGTTTATTGGTTACAGTGGTTTTGTAAATGATCAAATAAAGACAAGCCTGGTGGTAAAGGTCTGTATTTTCAGCTACCCAGGAAGCTGAGGCAGGAGGATTGCAAGATCAAGGTCAGCCTGGACAACTCAGTGAAACCCTATAGCCAAAAAAGGAGATAGAAAGAGAGTAGATAGATAGGCAGATGGATAGATAGGTGGAGAGACAGATAGGTGATAGATAGATAGATACATAGATACATAGATACATAGATAGATAAATAGACAGATGATAGGTAGATGATAGATAGGTAGATAAATAGATAAATAGACAAATAATAGGTAAATGATAGATAGATTATAGATAGATAGATAATAGACAGATGATAGATTATAGATCGATAGATAAATAGATGATAGATAGATAGATTATATAAGTATGATAGGTAGTAGATAGAGAGAGAGATGATAAATAGATACATAGATAGACAGATAAATAGATAGATAGATGATAGGTAGATGATAGATAGATAGATAGATAGATAATAGATAGATGATAGATAGATAGATAGATAGATAGATAGATAGATAGATAGATAGATGATAGATGATAGATAGATAAAAAGATAGATGAAAGCAAGACATTTTTGAAAGGCTCTTTGAAGAATAATTTATTGAAAAACTCACTTAATGACAAGGGCTTATAAACAAAAACATAGTCATGATTTAAAAGAACAACATATAAGAATTACGCAAGCTATTTTTCTGACACATAGCACACTAATCTTTCCACATAGTTTTTAATTTTTTGTTTTTCAAGTACTTAATGATTTGCACATGGTCTTAAAATCAAAAATTAAATAGCATGGAGGCATATGTCTGTAATCCCAGCACTCAGAAGGCTAAGGCAGGAGGATTACTTTGAGTTTAAGATCTGCCTGGGTTACATAGTGAATATCAAGGCTATTGTGATACATAGCAACACCATACCTCAAGAAATTTAAAACAAAAGCAACAACCAAAAGTCAGCACAGAATGAAGAGAATGAAAGTTTGCCTCTGACTTGTGCTCCTGGAGACAGAAAGTTGCTTTGCCTCCTTCTGGTTGGCTGTGGAAACACAAGCACATGCAGAGAAAGTCTCAGAACAGTTATTTTTGTGTCTCTTCACCGATCCGCTGGCCTGATTTCCTTTCTGTTGCTGTGATAAAGCACTCGAATCAAAACGCCTTGGGGAGGAAAGGGCTTATTGACTTAGACTTCCAGACTTTCAGGTCACAGTCCATCACTGAGGGAAGTCCGGCGGAAACTCCAGCAGGAGCTTGAAGCAGAAGCCAAGGAGGAGTGCTGCGTGCTCGTTCACTCTCTGGCTCTGCTCAGCCAGGCTTCTTTACCATTTTTTTTTTTAAAAATATTGTTCTGAAGGAAGATTTTTTTTTATTATTATTAAAGCTCTGTGAGAGACGGGGGTAGGGGAGAGGGGTGGCAAGTGCTCTAGACGGCAGAGGCATCAGAACCTCCTGGAACTAGACTTAGCCAGGCAACTGTTAGCCACCTGATGTGAATTCTCAGATCCAAACTCAGATTCTCCACAAGGGCAGTATGTGCTCGTAACTGCTGAATCATCTCTCCAGTCCCATCAGCTAGCTTTCTTATATAGCCAGGACAACCTGGCCAGGGAATGGGGCTTTCCAAGTGGGCTGGACATCCTACATCAGTTAACGATCAAAGAGATCCCCCATAGACACGTACACTGGCCAACCTTATCTAGACTCAGATGACTCTAGGCTGGATCAAGTTGACAATGAGCATTCCCCAGGACACTGACATATCTTAGCAAGCCTCCATATCCACACATAAAAACCACCTTACTCTCTTTAATAGCTATAGCATATTCTACCTCCATATAGACCTGAGCACAATTTACTTAGCCAGTCTTATTTTTGGACATGCGATTATTTACTGTCTTAAGTTATATTACCAACTTGGAAATATTGGTGCAATTGGAATATTGGAAACTCTGATGCAATTCTACTTAGTGGGTGACAATCTACATGTAAAATTTTCTATATAGGGCTTCAAACAATTTAAGATCTAATACTTACTTTTCCGGTGCATGGCTTTTGTGACAAAGATAATTCTGTGCAAGGGATTGTGGGAAGCATAAAGGCTTTTAAATTTTAAAAAATGCTTTGATGTATAAATAAGGTGTTCTTCCTTAAATATAGACATGAAGATACCTAATTATGACAGGAGTCAAATTGTTAGCAAAGAAATGAAAAGGCGACATTGAAAGTTTTTATTGTCTGTTAAGTGTAAATTGAAATTATAACTGGTCTAGTTTTGTAAAAGCGTTTGTGACAGTGTCTTTCGAAGTTTTCCACTTACGCGCTATGTGTCCCAGCCACCCACGATCTGCAGGTACCCCGTCAACAGTTGCGTACTGTAGATGTTCAGTTGTTCCTCGGACACGGGGTGAGGCAATCAGCTGAGCACGTCTCTGTAAGGCGATATTAACAATGTTCAACCATAGTCATTGCTTCGTCAATTAATGGATGATCAATCTACTGATATTTTGTTTTATTGTTTTTGTAGTTTTATGATAAGGATGGAACAAAGGGCATGGTAGACAAGTGCTCTTCACTGAGCTATATCCTCAGTCTATAATGTTTAAAATAAGTTATACACATGGTTCTCACTTTTATTTTCTTTTAAAAACGTTTGTGTTTGTGTTATGTATATATGTACCTACCTGCCCAGATGTACGGAAGAGCACTTGGTGCATACAGGGACCTGCAGACATCAAAAAAGGGCATCAGATCCCCCTGGAATGGATTTTAAAAGACACAGGGGTTGGGAGGATGACTCAGTGGGTAAAGGCGATGCCGTGCACGTGTGAGGACCTGAGCTGCTGTGTGGGGTCTATGAACTGGACCCAGATCCTCGCGAGAGAAGTACGTACTCTCGCCCACTCAGCACCCCTCCAACCCCGGTTATCGCTATTTTTAAAAGTTGTTCTTGTTTGTTTATTTGTTTGCTTTTGAGACAGGGTTTCTCTGTCTAGTCCTGGCTGACCTGAAACTTACTCTGTAGACCAGGCTGGCCTCAAACTTACACAGATACACCTACCTCTGCCCACAAGTGCTGGGATTAAAGGCATGTGCCACCACCGCCAGGTTAAAAGCTGTTCCTTTAATTCAATAAGAAACAGCCATAGCTGATGCTCAATAAATACTGAATGAGTTAGTAAATGAGTACCAGAACTTAAAGACTTTTTAACTTAAAGACATTTTAATAGTGATAAAATATGGTTTCCATTTTCACTGTCTTGTTTATCAACTGGTTCACTTTCCTACCAATAACTTATTCAGTTATCTGAGTATCTTCTCTCTAGTCTTCACCCAGGTTCCTAACGAAGACTCCTGAATTTATTTTTAAAAATCTTCATTATTGTGTGTGTGTGTGTGTGTGTGTGTGTGTGTGTGTGTGTGACATGTAGGAGTGGGTTCTCTCCTTCCACCACGTGGTTTCCAGGGATTGAACACAGGCTGCCGGGCTTAAGGACAGGTAGCTTTACCCAGTGAGCTAGTTTACCAGCCCAAGACTCTTGATTTCAAAATCCAAGCCTAGCGTGCCAACTGCAATAGCACTTCCGCTGCTGAACCTAGTTCACGAGAATGAAAAGGATCTTTTCCAGAATGGTGCTGTGCCTTGCGTCTCTTCCACATGTGATGTGAGTCTGTTGCAGTCAGTGTGTTCTGCATTTGATGGGGACTGCGCCTGCCATGTCTGTCATTCATCCACTTGTCCAGTGAAAACTGAAATCTTTACCAGAGAGAGTCCTAAGTGGCCATGAAATACTGATTTATGATCTTAAAAGATACCGAGTTTGGGAAGATGGCTCAGTGGTTAAAAACAGTTGCCATGCAAGTGTGAGGGCCCAGGTTCAATTCTCAGAACCCATGCAAAAGTGGGTATGGCAGCTCACATCTGCGATCCCAGTGCTCCTAAGGGGAGCTAGGAGGCAGGGTTGAGAGACCCCCTATAAGATATTGGGCCAGCCAGCCTGACTTCCCAGTAGAGAACAACAAAGAGACCCTGTCTCCAAAAATGGTGGACAGAGGACCTGAGGTTGTATTCTGACCTCTTCACATGTGCCCTCTGGCCTCTCACTGTGGTCTAAGCACACCCATGTTCATACAAAAGAATGTATACACACACACACAAACATACACACACACACACACACACACACACAGAGAGAGAGAGAGAGAGAGAGAGAGAGAGAGAGAGAGAGAGAGAGAGAAATACCTTAAATTTAATTTATGAAATTTTAAAAGCTGAGACAAAGAAATCATTTTTGAGTATCTGGTTTGAATATAACACCTCTTTTACTTATTTAGCTTCTACTAGGATAGAACCTAGGGTCTCAGGGCATGGTAGACAAGTACTCTAACTACATCCTCAAGTACTAAGCTCAACTCACTCTTCTTATGAACCTAAGACTGTAAGAGACACAAAGAAACCCCAGCCCAGGAGTCAGGAGAAGATGCTTTTCCTTCAGCACCCGATGCAGACTCACAGTTCTGTTTTCCTGCAGGGCTGCCTGGTTTGCCTGGGTCCTGCTAGGGAATCTGTTCCCTCTGTGTTCACACATAGCAACTTCATCCTCCCCCACGGACGCTGGCTCTGGCTGGCTCTGCTGCCTGCTCCATTCTACTCCCAACCTACACTGTGGGCCGAAGAGGAAGGGGAGCAGTGGCTCGGGTGCCTCCTCTACCATAGTCTGCTCTGCTCCATCCTTCCTTCCTCCTTTCTTCTCCTTCCTCATCTCAAATCTACTTCTTCCTTTTCCCTCCAGAAAGGGTGGAGAGCTTGCCAGATGATTTGCTAATTCCTTGTCTTTGAAAGTCTGGTTTCAATTTCTTGTCCAACATGGCATGGGCATAGTGGAAAAGGAAACTGGAGTTAAGGCACCAGATTTGTGATATCACTGGGCTGGGAGACTCCAGACCTGATGATTCTGCAGGAGCTTGTTCTCATTCAAAAGGCATCAGGAAGAGCACTGTGAAAGTAAAACTATCCCTTACCACCACTCATTCCTCTTTTCCAGTAAGTCACTCCTTGGCAGTAAATGGGTGTTAAGCCTACCAGCCAGTGTGGAGACAGTTTACGTGCAGCACACACACACACACACACACACACACACACACACACACACACACACAATCCAATCTGAGGCTTCAAGACATCTTTTCTTAATTGATCGTGTTTCCTAATGTTTTTGCAACAAATTTGCCATGCTGGCTTTATTTACTCCCTGTACAGATGCCTTCTATCTGTGATTTTGCTACTTCTTCTAACTACAGTGTCATTCCAAAACTCTGAAGGCAACAAAAAAAGAAATAATTTTAGTGAAAAAAGAGATTATCCCTAGTCTTGTCATGACTTGATACTTTGTACCCAGCAACCATTAGACTCTAGAGTTTTCTGTTGGAAACTACTTTGAGTGTATTTTCAGCCAGCTTTCCCTATAGTTCACACTCTATAGATTTATTTTGGATTGTTTCTAACGATATGGAGGGGAGCATGTGTGCGTGAGTGCAGGTGCCCACAGAAGCCAGAAGAGGCCTTGAATCCCCTCAAGCTGGGGTTACAGGCAGATGTGAGCAGCCTGGTGCGTATGGTGCTTCTGTAAAAGCAGTATGTGCTCTTGATTGCTGAGCTTCCCTCCAGCCCCAAGAAATAATAAGGGCAAGTTGGCTAGCAGGGCATCTGTCCTAGACAAGAGTGGAAATTACCAACAGTTTACTGATTCTTGACAATAAATACCTTGGTGGGATTTCAAGTGGTTCTAGCTCAGTTCTGTTCTTTTTCAGTGGCCATCTCCACATCGGTCCTGGTCCTCCTGGTTGGTGCAGGACTTGTGCTTTTTCTTGTCAGGTGCATCAGATCAAGGTGAGTGGCACAGGACCGCAGGACCAAATTCTTCCTTTCCACCAGAAAAGCTTGACCATAAAGATTCCAAGAGGCCCTCTCAAAAGATGAGTCCCACTATCTATAAACTGTCTATAAACCCTCAGCCCCTTCTGCAGCAGCTAGAAGGAGCTGTGTAAGACCAGGCTGGCCCTGCAGAGGGCCGTTCACTTCTCACACAGCTCTCAGACCATGTGTTTAAAATGGGGTCAGCAGGAACTGAACAGGGGTGGAGCGGGGGGCATACCAAAGGATATTTGTATCAGCTCCTTTTGTGGATACTCATGAATATATTCTGCATGTACTCATTTCTCATGGTATACCTCCTTATAAGTATGGTCATGCCAGCCTCAATTTGTATTTCCAATAACAGAAATTCTACACTGCAGCCTTTGAGATGTGTTCCTTTTACTCACTGACATTTCAATCATATATTCTTCATCTTGGCATTGACCTTGTGCTTCTGTGTGTTGAGTAACCAGCTGACATGGTTAGTTCCATCCAGCATAGGTCTCTAGCTCTGCCTCCACATGATTACACGGGTGACTATCACCATTCTTGAAGCAGAACATGCAGTCACTAGGAATAAAATGATAGCTAGCATGTCAATATAAAATTGTACAACTTGGGCTGGAGATGTAGTCAGTCAGTTGGTAAAGCACTTGCCTAGCATGTACGCAGCCCATGAATCACCAGAATTTTTTAAAAAATAGAAATTGTATGACTGTTTGAGCCTGGTTTTGATAAAAGAAGGATTCTCTGAGACACTGCAATGAATCAAGAGGAAAACTAATAATCAAAATTTCACATAAGACTGGACAGGTATTAGTAGAAGCTCAATTGATACAAATATCATAAGCTCCAGAAGTAATTCATAAATAGCTAAACTAAGATGCGCATATATTCAATAATTTTTTAAATACAAAAAAAATGCTACCTGGTGAGAAAAATTAAACGTTGTTTTAAAGGATTTTCCAAATATTTTTTATAACTGAGTAATTTTAACCTAATATCTTGAATTTAGAGTTATATTCTTGAGAGATAATAATTACTTAATGTGACCAGAAATGTACATACTATGTTTTTAATGAATAAACATTACATTCTTAAATAAATTGGTAAATTTGGTATATATAGCCAATAAATGGCTTAATAAAATATCAGTATTATTAACAATATTTTTTAAATGCATCTAGGTGTATTTTAAAAGCAGTAATTATATTGATTTTGTCACCTGGTGAACCAATTCCATTAACTGATTTTTTTTTTTCGAACTGGTTGATGGGTAGATTTGCCACTCAATAAACTGGCTTTTGGTAAACTGACCTAGATTTCTGATTTCTAGTTTCTGTCTCACACAAAACCATTCAATTAGTTATGGCTTGAAAAACTGTTTATCTTTAGAAGACCTTATAAGAAACATGAAAGACAATACTGACCTAGGTACTTAAGGCCTAAAACTCAAGGGACCACCATGACAAGTAGACACACAGACTACAGAGCCTCTCTCTGCTCTTGCTAGCCACAAGCTCAACTGTATTTGTTTGTTTTCTGAGACAGGATTTCTCTGTGTAACAGCTCTAACAATCCTAGAACTCACTCTGTACACCAGGCTGGCCTTGAACTCACAGAGATCCGCCTGTCTCTGCCTCCCTGGTGCTCGGATTAAAGGCTGTGCTACCACTACCTGGCTCTTCCTTTCTTTTCTTTTCTTTTCTTTTCTTTTCTTTTCTTTTCTTTTCTTTTCTTTTCTCTTCTTTTCTTTTCTTCTCTTTTCTTGGCTGTATTTGTTTAATGCTGAATATTAAGAACTGTTTTTAAGGCCTCGTGAATACCCAGCTACTTTCATCAGTGTCCTCAGGTCTGGTCTAGCCAAGGTCCCGGTCTCCTGTCCCCCTTTTTTGATATCTGTGCTGGGCTTTAGCAGAGGATTGGCAGCGTTGGGTATGAGGATGGCATGGCATGATTTGTTCCAGCAACACTGGGAAACCTCTGGTGGATGGAGGGTGAAGCTGAAAATTCACAAATAGGGTTAAATTCTTGCTTTTTGCACATCTGGGCATTCTAAGTTTTCCTATTCTCTAAGCAACACAAATCTCTGAGAGCTGGGCTGATGTCTGCTAATGTAACCCACTCAGTACTGGGCATGCATGTTCATTAAGAAGTATGTTAACCCAAGAGCCACCCTGACCTCTTTTAAAAACCTGTGAATAAACTGTTTTACAGGCAAGCTTCTCAGCCACATGATGTTGCAATGGAAACCATGGAATCAGTGCCAATGACTGAGGACCAGCAGCAATGAGGACGACACAGGAGCCTAACCTGGCAACCGCCGAAACTCAAGGAAACCCGCCCAGCTGAGTCTAACGAGAACACATAATGGCAGCTCCGTGTTAGCTAAGGAGTACCAGGACACAGGGAGCTGGGCACCAGGAGGAAGTGCACCGTGGTAATACAAGGTTTCTGGAACGACCTGCTTTACTGCATCTGGATGTCTCCCATGTGCACACCTGGGTTCTCTGGCAACTGGAAGGACACCACCCATCTACCTGGCTCAGCAGAGAGGCCGGCTTCCCAAAGTGCCAGCAGCTTGAGCTCTCCTGGGAGACTCTCATGGTCTCCATAAAAGCCTCTGATTTCACTCCAACATCGACTCAAAATAGCTTATCAGCTAGGCCAGTGGTTCTCAATCTATGGGTCGTGGCCCCTTTGGAGGGGAGGAGCATCAAACAACCCTTTCACAGGGGTCACATATCAGACGTCCTGCGTATCAGATATTTACATTACCATTCATAACAGTAGCAAGATTACAGTTATGAAGTTGTAACAAACAATTTTATGGTTGGGGGGGTCACCGTAACATGAGGAATTACATTAGAGGGACACAGCTTTTGGAAGGTTAAGAGCGCCACTGTGATAGACTCTCTTTTCTGTCCCCTACCCTGATTTACAGTTTACAGAGCTGAGCCATACACCAAAGGCTCCCACTCCACCCCAAGGCTCCCCTGGCACTGGGGAGTCTTGTAAAGAAGACAGCAGCACTTGAACTCCTGAAGACTTGGTTATTGCTGCTTTGCACCTATTGAAAAAGAGGAGAGGAAGGCAGAAGCGATATTGAGCCAGTGAATCCTTTGTATAGGATTTATGACAAAAACTGAACTCAGTAACTTTTTACATATGTGTGTGTGTGTGTATATTTATACTTCCTTTTCTATTATATCCACATGCAATGTATGATTTATATTTGAAAGTGCCTTGTATAGGCATAATAAAATATCTATTTTCAGTACAAAAAAACACATTAAAATGATCAACAAAGAGAAATGTTCCGCAAAAGAAAAGAGGAGAAAGAGGAGTAATAAGATATCAAAGGTGATCAAACTCAGGTTTTCTTTCAAAAAGAAAAAAAAAGAGAGAGAGAGACAAAGGGGAAAAGCCCTTGCTTAGAGCTGGTACAGATCAACAGTGTTGCAGGATTTCTAAGCACATCTCTCGGTGAGTAGAATCAATATAAAAAAGTCTGAGCTCAACTAGCAGAGGATGCTACCTATTCTGCTCGCCCCTACTCTTCATCTATTTATTATTCTTCATTAATTACTATTATTATTATGAATCTATTGTAGAGCAATGGATAAAAAGAGGACCTCATCCTTGTTAGGCAAGTACTCTACCACTGAGTCATATCCCCAATTTCTTAACTCCTAAATTTACAGATAAAAAAAATGTAGCCTGGAGAAACTGACCTGCCCAATTTCATGAATGTAGTTCAGCTACTGCCACCACTTGGACAGAAAACTGGGGTGGGAGGTGGGTGGGAGAGGAGGCCTGGTTGTGAAGCAGCTGATAATTGGTCCCCCTCCATCCCCCGGTAAAGCAGAACCACCAGAAACATTCAGGAGGTGGGTTAGGTGCCAGCTTCACAAGCTGCCATTCCTCACTGACTTCTGCCGGTCATCAATGTATGTGGCTTCATTCATCAGAACTAAAGGAAGCTTTGCCACATTGCTCACTTGGGCTTCCTCATTGCATGGTGGTCTCTGTCTAGTCAGGTTGTTTATATGGTGACCAAAACAAAGTCGAAACTGTCAGGCCCTTCAAGTAGGTAGGCCAGAAACAGACCTGTTTAACTTCTGCTACCTATCATACATATATATAATACATATATATAATATATCATACATACATATATATATTATATATCATACATATATATAATACATACCTTTGCTATGTATTCGTCAAAGCAAATTACAAACCAGCACAGATTCAAGGGCAAGGAAATGACAAACAGGAAATAAAGCATCCACAGAATCTATCTTTGGTAGCCAGGTGCCATATTTTTGAAGACAGTCAGGGAAGCATAATTTTCCTTGAGTTCTCAGCTCTCAGTCAATGGCAATAAATACGAGATGAACAGATGAGACTATAATGATCTGGTATTGCACTAAGCATTGAGACATCTATTTTTTTTGTTTGTTTGGTTTTTCTTTTGAGACAGAGTTTCTCTGTGTAGCTTTGGCTGTCCTGGAGCTTCCTCTGTTGACCAGGTTGGTCTTGAACGCTCAGCGATTCACCTGCCTCTGCTTCCCAAGTGCTGGGATTAAAGGCATGCACCACCACTGCCCAGCTGAGATGTCCATTTTTAATATTTAGTTTGGAATGGAAAGGTACACAGAACTCTGAAGGACTTAAAAATTGTATAGCTATTATACAACCTTCATCCCGGGTGACCTTTCCTGCTACAGATCTAATTTACAGTTTCTTCTTCCCACATTACTTGCCTTCCACCATATTAGCCATGAAAAAAAAAACACATTGGTGTTTGACAGTACACGGAGTGCATTTCCAGCCACACCTCTCTCTGAGCGTGGACCCACCAACACCTAGCTCTTCCCTTCCCCACATCGCCCTATGCCCACAGGAAGTATCCAGACTTGAGTCAACGTCCCTTTTTCCTAAGAGAGCCTAAATGATAGTCAAAATATCACCTCAGCTTCCTCTTACCCCTTATACAAGCAGTCTGGAATGTAAGCCCTGGTCTCTGGCCTCCATCTTTGGAGGCCCCGTCCCTGTGCCCGCCAAGTCTTGACCCCTTCCCAGAGGAGGGTCAAGATGAGCCCACCAAAATCTTGACCACGCCCTCAGTTTATTTAAACTGCTACCCTGGAAAGTTTGCTCGTGGTCTCTTTTCCTTCCTCCTGGTGGTCGCATTAGCCACCTCCCAGTTCCCCCTTGGGGCCACCTGAGAGCACAGGAATCCCATTAAACCTGGGTATTTTTTAATTTGGCTTGTTGTGATTGGGCTTGATTGGGATTTTTGCGTCGGCAGAGAGCTCGCGTTAGGAAAAATTCCTAACAATGTCCATCGCTTCTATTTCACCTTGATCTAAGAATTAAAGTTTTTTTGTGTCTTTTCTAGCTCCCTTTTAGATGCTACAGAGTAGAAAGAGTAAGAAACAAAAGACATACTCTTTTAGATTTATTTTTATATGAATGAGTATTTTGTCTATGTGTATATCATACACCATATGTGTTCCTGGTAACAGAAAGCAGAAGAGGGCATCAGATCACTGAACTGGAATTACTGGCAGCTGTGAGCTGCCTTGTGTGTGCTGGGCATGGAATTCATATCCTCTACAAAAGCCGAGCTTTACAGGCCAGCTTGATATTGAGAGTTACCATCGACATATATTAATGGGGGAGCCAGAGGTACTTTTCAGCAGAGATAAGGGAATGACTTTTTTTCACATGGGTACCAATTTCACAGGTTCCTGAAGAATGCTGGCTTTTATCTAACAATCAGAAATCCTCCTCATATAGTCAAGGTTGATATTTCTTGATATTTGAACTGCCTTTTTGAGCTTGAAGAATTGGAATTTCCTTTTTACCTGACACTGGGGAACCTTCACATTGTTGAATGCCTCATTGTCCACTAACATAAGGCCAGCTGCTCCCTGGTCTAGGGCACCTGGACTAGGCCCTATCAGAACAACTCACCTAGTATTCTAGGTTATTGAACACAGAATGAATGAAAGACAGAATGTGTCCATCAAGGCCTTGCCACCGATGAATTGGCTGGGGCTGTTTCCCTCTAACAGATATGTGTGATTTCAATGACAATGACCCCCATAGGGTTATATATTTAAAGGTAGTACCAAGAGTGGGATATTGCTGTGATATACCAAGCAATGTTTTTGCTGTTGTTATTATTGCTGTTGTTCTGTTTGGTTGATTGATTCGTTCATTTGTTTGTTGAGGAATGTGGAAGACTCTGGAACTTTGAACTATGAAAGAACACTGTAAGTGGGGCTTCATGGGCCATTATAGAAGAATTTGAGAAGACAGCAGTGCTGAAAACAACACGAATGTAGAGGCCCAGCTCAGAGGGTTACAGAGGGACACAATATTAGCAACTGGGCTGGAACCCGTTCTTGTGACATTTTGGCAAAGAATGTGGTTGCTTTTTGCCCTTGTCCTATCAATATACCTTAGACTGAATTGAAGAGTTTTGGGCTAATTTCATTGTCAGAGAAGATTTTTTTTAATATTGACTCTGTCACTGGTTATTAGTAATCTCTCTTACGTAGCTCTACAATGAAAAGGAGTGAGCAGGAGAATAAAAACACAAACTATGGCTTGAGGAGAAAAGGGAGTACCAGGAAATTTAGTGCTAGAGCCCTGGCCTGTGCTGGAAGACATAAGAATAAGTGAGGTAAAGGGTGTAGTGTCTTTAGGGTGACAGCCCATTCAGCTAATCCTGCAATTTGGGGGAAAAAAATGGGTCTGGATTACCTGTTCCTAAAGTGCAAGTAAAACAAAAGCAACAAAAAAACCAAAGTTCATGCAAGTGTATTTCAAGGGTGGGGACATACTCTAACCCAAGCAGGCATCAGTACCAGGCAGCCTTGGCTGTGTTTTAGAGTCAGGAAGAACAAAGGAGCAAAGCAGCTCTGGAATCTTCTTCTAAGGTTAAGGAGAGCTCTTGAGGCCAGGTATGAAATGCCAGACAGGGAGGCCATTTCAGGAAACTGTGAAAGTAAAGCCTGAATTGTGTAGGAGCCCCCCAAGATGTTGGAGGTGCCAGAGCTGTGGGAAACCAACTAAGGAGAGCTGTAGACAGGGAGAGGAAGCAGCACAGGTGAGAGAAGGGTGTTGTAGGCAGCAAAACTGGAAAGGTGGAGCCACCTAAGCCCTTTAACAACAGACATGGAGCTGCAGGACTTAAAGAGTTTGCCCTGATAGGTTTTGGTGGTGCTTTTGTCCAGTATTTCCTTACTATGTCTCCATTCCTCCCTTTTGAAACAGTAATGTCTATTCTGTGCTACTGTATGTTTGAAGTAAGTAATTTGCCTTTTGATTGTTACAAGGGATTACAATTAAAAGATTGCCTCGAGTCTCAGAAGGGACTCTGGACTTTGAAACTGTTAAGAATGTAAAAGGCTGTGGGGACTTTTAAAGTTGGACTCAATGTGTTTTGCACTGTTACATGGCTACAAACCTATGGGGACTATGAAGTGGAATGTGGTGGCTTGAATAAGAATGGCCCCCAAAGGCTCATGTATTTGAATAGGTGGTCCCTAGTTGATGGAACTGATTGGGAAGGATTAGAAGGCATGGCTGTAATGGTCTGTCCTGTCCCTTTAAGAGACAAGCCCCGCTCACTCCCTTCCTCCCTCCCCTCCCATCCACAAGGCAAGCAGATCTTCCTTCTGCTTCCAGCCTGAGTTCCTTCCTTTCAGCCTCTCTCCAGAGGAGGTAGCTTCTCCTCTCCTCATCCTCCCTCTCTGTTTCTCTCTCTCTCTCTCTCTCTCTCTCTCTCTCTCATTGCCTCTCTCTCTTGTCCCCCTTCTTCTTCCCTCTCCCCTTTCCCATTCCCTTCCATAACCCACTAAATAAATATCCACTTTCTCTGCATGGTGTACCTATCCATCTTGGGTCACCCGCAGCTCCGCTGCTGCAACCCACCTGGGACCTGCAGCCCCTTGTGGTCTGCTGCAGGTCCTCAGGGAACTGTGCCCCACCTGCTGCTTTATCTAAACCATTACAATGGCCTTGTTGAAGGAAGTGTGTCACTGGGGGTGGACTTTGAGGTTTCAAATGCTCAAGTCAGGCCCAGTGTGTCCCTCTTTCTTCCTGTT